TCCTCTTGTATGCTGTGGAATGGAGGGACCAAGTTCGAACTTGTAGTAAAGATCCTTGCCGCTTGCCTTTGACTCTGGACTCTGGTGGTCTTCTTTGGGGAACAAACGGTCTGGGTATAACATAGCTTTTTACTTACCCTAAAAGCATTGTGAAATACAAAAGCCATTTTGTAATATTAGACTGAATTATTATTTACACAGGTAGGATGGTTCAGTGAGGGTAAAACAAGATTCATCATACAAATTCCCAGTAACCTTTCACATCTTAGAGAAGGCAAACAGTCCAAGTGGGCTGTATTTGGCCTGCACAGGCATTTCCCCTCAATGCAGTATTTTTAAAAATATTTAAAACTATTGCCATTATTTAAGAATCTGGAGATTTCACATAAAATCTAACTTTCCAGATACTTTTACAAAAATGCATGACGTGACTACATTAGACACCACATTCCCACATGGCAGCAGTTGACGAGCTGATTCATTCTACTCTCACCTAGAACACAAAGTACTAAAAATACTGCATTGGGTGGGGAAATGCCTGTGCAGGCCAAATACAGCCCATTTGGACTGTTTGCCATCTTTAAGATGTGAAAGGTTACTGGGAATTTGCGTGACGAATCTTGTTTTACCCTCACTGAACCATCCTACCTGTGTAAATAATAATTCATTCTAATAATTCATTCAAATTCATTCTACTCTCCAGTTGGACACGGTCCTCACTGCCACACAGCTTCTGTTGCTTTATACTGTCCTGTGGGGAAAAGAGAGATCAGCCTCTTACTGTGTCTATATAGAAAGAAGTAGACATTAAGAGACTCCATTTTGTTCTGTATTTGAGATGCTGTTAATCTGTGACCCTACCCCCAACCTTGACCTGCAAGAGACATGTGCTGTGGTGACTCAAGGTTTAATGGATTTTGGGCTGTGCAGGATGTGTCTTTGTTAAACAAGTGCCTGAAGGCAGCTTGCTGGTTAAAAATCCTGCCCGTCCCTGGGCAATGAAACATCTCGGTGTAAAACCCGATTGTATGCTCTGTTTACTGAGATAGGAGAAAACCGCCTTAAGGCATAAGGTGGGACTCGCTGTTTGCACATGAGTACCAAGGCACGGGTATTTTCTTTTGAACTTATTATGTCACAGAGATCTTTATCCATATGTCTTACTGCTAATTTTCTCCCTAAAATGATCCTGTTGTCCTGCGACTCCCTTATCTTTAAGATGGTAAAGATAATTATCAATAAATACTAAGGGAACTCAGAGACTGGGCCAGCGTGGGTCCTCTGTAAGCTGAGCGCCGGTCCCCTGGGCCCACTTTTTCTTTCTCTATACTTTGTCTCTGTGTCTCATTTCTTTTCTCAAGTCTCTCGTTCCGCCTAACGAGAAACACCCACAGGTGTGGAGGGGCAGGCCACCCCTTCACTGTCCCCTTCATTCACCCATTTAAACTGTGTGTCCTAAGGATTTCTTAGTGAGGCTTCAAGGACTCTAGATGCTTTACCACCCAAACAGCTTCACTTTCATTAGTTTTATATATTAGCCTTCCAATTAAATTTTTCTATGAAGAATAGGTTTTCTGCTAACAAATCTGAAGATTTAGATTAAAAATTTTAAATATATTCTTTGATCACCTGAAGTTAGAGGAAAGCCACTTCGAAATTTTATTTGGATAGAATTTGTAGGTAATCTATGGGAAGTCAACTATAATAGCTTCTAGGAGACTCCTTAAAGACTAGTTCTTTGGGTAAGATAAAAAACACATGAAGGGGGTCAACATTAAGTGTAATAGTGAAAAAACACTGGGCCAAAAGCAGGTATTAAACTGAGGAGAGAATAATTTACATTTGAAGTATTTAGTATTAGGAGCAGTTGTGGGAAAAACGGTAGAATGGGGCCAAAGTGGGAAAATGGAGAGGTAGGGGGAAAAAAGCAGTGAAGAATAAGGGAAGGATGGGAATAAACTCTATGAGCAAAGGAAAGTGAAGAGAAATTAGAAGGGGGGAAGGGAAAAAGCGGTTAAAAAGGACAAGAACATGACAAAAACAAACTGCAAAGAGGAAATGGAAGCCAAGCTAGTGAAAGTATAGTAGGGGAGAACGCAGCAACCTTTAGAGAAATGTGAGATGGAAGCTGAAGGTCTCTGGAGGTAGGAGTACTTTATGTTCTTTTTATCACTGACTTCAGAGTAATAATCAACCTTTTATTTCCAAGCCATGTAAGCCAAATGCCTTATATGAAGAATCCTAACCCAAATCTAAATTTACTACTATTCCTTGAGGGCCACTCAGGATCCTTGCCCTGTGTTAGTCTCTGAGTGTTGACACAGGATACCTCTCCTGTCTACCACTCTAGGCCCCAATTTGTTGAATCCTGCTCAGCCTAGATGCCACTTCAGCAAAAAAGGTTCTCCTGAGGAGCAAAAATATATGCTTGGCTTCTCCAGAGGCATCCAGAGTGCTCCTTTGTGGGAAGATGTTTGTCTATTCCCCCTCTCCACCCTGCAACAGTATTTTCTGAGATAATAATACTCATTCTGAATTAAATAAATGATACATGCAAAAGGAAAAGCCCTTATAAAGTATAGCAATAGTAGCTGCCATTTGTTGAGCACTTACTGTGGTTCAGACATTGTACCAAGCACCTTATATATTTAATGTAAACTTTCCAATTCTTCTTTTAGGTTCTATATATTTTTTTAAGCAATGTATAGACAAAATTATTCTTATGAAAAGTTTATAATAAAATGACAAGTTTTTATTACATTAAAATGTCAAGTAGCGGGCCGGGCATGGTGTCTCACACCTGTAATCCCAGCACTTTGGGAGGCTGAGGCGGGTGGATCACGAGGTCAAGAGATTGTACCATCCTGGCCAACATGGTGAAACCCTGTCTCTACTAAAAATTCAAAAATTAGCTGGGCATGGTGGTGTGCGCCTGTAGTCCCAGCTACTCGGGAGGCTGAGGGAGGAGAATCACTTGAGCCTGGGAGGAAGAGGCTGCAGTGAGCTGAGGTAGCGCCACTGCACTCCAGCCTTGGGAAAGAGCGAGACTCCGTCTCAAAAAATAAACAAAGTCAAGCAGCATAGCCGTGCTTGTGTTCTTTTCATCACTGAATATATTACATAATATAATCACAACTATGTAAAATATTAAAAATTGAAAGGAAATTACAACAAACTCAACTGTATTTAGGTAATTAGGTAATTAGATTTCCCCCTTTTTCTTCCAATTTCTGTATATTCCAAATGGAAAAGTTAGAAAGAATTCATCACACACATGTAAATGCTTTTGAAAAATTAAAATGCTACAGAATTATCTGAGTCCAGAGATTATTCTTTCATAACATTTTCAATTATTGTCTTTAGGGTAGGGTTAGTTTATTTAGATTTTTCTACTTCTCAAATGAATTTTGGAACTAATACTTTTTCCCAGAAAATCACTAATTTCATTGAGATTTTTAAAACTGTTAGCAGGCTATTTTCCTCTGCTATTTGTTATGTCACAGTCAAGGGAAAAAGGGACTTTGACTTTTGATCATGTACTTCTAATGGAAAGAAATGCAGGGGTTATACTTTTTCTAAAATTTTCTTCCCAGAGTGGAGAGTGTTCTAAAGTTTATTTGAAAATTATTTATATCTACACTTTCTAAATGTTTCACACAAATTTATTTGCTCACTTATATTTACTGTTTAAAAGCACAGGGAATTTGAATCTGATTTTCATCTTAAAGGAATTATACCCTTTTACAAGGCATAACTCCTTTAAGATGAAAGGTATATATCTACAAAAGGTATATATCTACGGAAGGATATACATTTCACACACACACAAAAAAATTGTCAAACTAGATGCTGGGGAAATTTATTCTTTTTAATAAATTTATGTGAATTCATTACTTATCTTTGACTTGTCAGGCAAAGAATTTCAGAGGAGGAAAATAGATATTGATGAAATTCTCCAAACAGGAAAATTTTTTTGTAGGTTGTGGAGAATAAATAGGGTTTTAAGAACAATTATCTTTCCCCATTTCCCAGTAGCAAATCTTCATAAGAAATTGAAATATTCCAGAAATATACAATGTATAAAATGCAAGTTCTCCTTAAGATTACCCCCAACTGATACTCACGGTGAATTTTATTTATTTATTTATTTATTTATTTATTTATTTATTTATTTATTTTACTTTATTTTGTTTTTCTTGAGACAGAGTCTCACTCCATCACCAGGCTGGAGTGCGGTGGCATGATCTCCGCTTACTGCAACTTCCACCTCCTGGGTTCAAGTGATTCTCCTGCCTAAGCCTCCTGAGTAGCTGGGACTATCAGGCACATGCCACCACGCCCAGCTAATTTTTGTATTCTCAGTAGAGACGGGGTTTCACCATGTTGGCCAGGATGGTCTCGATCTCTTGACCTCGTGATCTGCCTGCCTTGGCCTCCCCAAGTGCTAGGATTACAGGTGTGAGCCACCGTGCCTGGCCAACATTTTTAAGATAATAATTTTCACAAAAACAATCATACCGTATCTTTTGTAACTTTTTATTTTACTCAATATACCTTTGGCATCTCTTAGTTTCTAAAAACTGGGTGGTATTTTAATGAATAGACATATAGAAATTTAAATTCCAAATATTAGGCATTTGAGTTTCCCAATTTAAATAAACAGTGCTTCTTTGTACATACGTTCAAACATTTAAGTAAGCATTTCTATATAGATAAATCCAGGAAGCTAAGTTTTGATTGAATCAAGGGGTATGGACTTCTCACCTTCTAAGTAAGTCTTACCTTCTAAAAATGTACAACTAAGTATGCCCGTATATCCATACACTTCCTAGCACTGAATATTATAAATTGTTTGTCTTTAGCAATCTGAAAGATTTTTAAACATCTTTCTTGTTTTATTTAAATTCTTATAAGTGAATCTTTTCATATTCATTATTCTTAGTTTTGTGTTCTATAAATGTCACGTGAGTTCGTGTGAAGAGAGTTCACCAGGCTTTGTGTGAGCAACAAGGCTGTTTATTTCACTTGGGTGCAAGTGGGCTGAGTCCAAACGGAGAGTCAGCAAAGGGAGATAGGGATGGGGCAGTGTTACAGGATTTGGGTAGGTAGTGGGAAATTACAGTTAAACGTGGTTATCTCTTGTGGGCAGGGGCGGGGGTCACAAGGTGCAGGGTGGGGAGATCATGAGACTCATTGTGGGGGGCGGGGGCAATGTCACAAGGTCGATTGATTAGTTGGGGTGGGGCAGGAACAAATCACAATAGTGGAATGTCATCTTTTGTGGTTCTGCAGTTGCTCCAGGTCATCTGGATGTATACTTGCTGGTCACAGGGGTTATGATGGCTTTGTATCATATTGTCAGAGGCCTGACAATAAATGCATGCAGGTTAAGTACTTTGTCTATTTTTCTATTGGCTTGTTCATATTTTTATTTTTTGGTAAGATAAAAGGTCTTTGTATATAAGGAAAATCAGCTGTGTCTTTTAGATGTGTGGCATATTTTACTTTTAGTTTATATTTTATTTTTACTTTTTTCATTCAAATATTTTAATTTTACAAGACCAGTTTCATTTATCTTTTCCTCCATGGCCTTTTCAGTTTTATGTCTTTAGGGTTTTGTGTTATTCTTAAAAAGCCCCTTCCCAGTCCAGTTTTCCAACCTGTCTCCCTGCTTCTGCCCTTGCCCAACCCCTTCACATTCAAGTCTACTGTTAACATAGCAGCCAAAATAATAATTTCAATAGCCAAGTTTAATCATGTTACTTCTCTACTCAGAAATCTCGAATGAGCCATGCTGTGTAGCTCACACCTGTAGTTCCAGCTAGTCAGAAGGCTGAAGCAAGAGGATCACTTGAGCCCAGGAGTTTCAGGCTTCAGTGAGCTATGATCACACCACTCACTGCACTCCAGTCTGGGTGACAGAATGAGACCCATCACTTAAAAAAAAGGAAAAGGAAAAAAAAGAGAAAAGAAAATAAACTTTCAGTAGCTTAGCATTTTATCATTTTAGAGTACAAATACCCTTGCACTCACAGAAGGTTCTCACTCTCTCTCCACCCAATGCTCTTTTGCTCACTCAGCTCCAGAAAAACAAGGATCCTTCCTTTGCCCAAATTACTTAAAACACACCTCACTCCAGGCTTTTGCATTTGTTATCCCTCTCCCTGAAACATCTTTATCCCTGATGGCCCATTCCCTCAGCTCCTTCAATCTTTGCCCAAATGTCAATTTACTAGTCAGGTCCTCCATGAATATCCTATTTAAACTGTATCACTTCATTCTCACTCCAAATTCCCTATTTCCTTTATTTTCTCCTTAGCACTAATATTCACCATCTATACACTATATATTTTTTGGTTTATTGCCTGCCTTGCCACCACACACACACACACACACGATTATAAATTCCATGAAAGAAAGGGCATTGTTTTGCTCAAAATTAGTTCCAGCTTCCACAGTAGTGCCTGGCATAGTAGGTAAATCAATATTTGTGGAAGAAATGGGAAGAGGGAGGAAAAACTAAGAGCATTTTTCAACCATCAGTTTAGCAAAGATCAAAATATTTTATAACACTGTGTTGACAAGTATAGGTAAATAAGAATATTGCTAGTAGATTCTATGATTGGTGATTTGGCATTAACAAAAGTACAAATTTCCCTCTTCTATGCTGTAGTAACTCCCTTTCTAGAAATGCAGACTATGGATATATCCTTACACATGAAAAACGTGAGTTCACGGTAAGTTATTGCAGCAATGTTTGAAAAAGAAAAATTGGAAACAACCTCATGACCACCAATGGGGTAGTTTATTAATATATTACGGCACATAATACACAGTTGAATACTGTGCAGTTGTTTAAAAAGACCAAGATCAAGGAAACAGTTATGTACAGTCTTTACCAAGATCACTTGGTAAAAAGAAAAATAAGAAAGTTACAGAAATGCTACTCTTTATGCAGAGGGGAAAAAGCGCGGACAATCTATAACGGTGTAATATATCTATGGAAGGATATACAAGTCACGAAAAATACTGTCAAACTAGACGCTGGGGGACATTTACTCTTTTTAATAAATGTATGTGAATGCATTACTTATCCATATTACTTATTTAATAATTAAACCGGAAAACATTTTTAAAAAGTAGAAATAAGACTTGGTCGCAGGCCCCGCAGTCCCATCAATACGAGGCGTAGAACCCGGGTGGCTCCACTGCCTAGGGCTGAGGAGGCAAGCCCTAAAGCTGCCACAGAGGCGAAGCTTCCTAGAGCGGCCCGGAAGTGCCCGGCTAAAGCGGCCGGGCGCTGATTGGTGTCTTTGAGTCTAGTCTTTTGTTCGGGGCTGTCCAAAGGACGCTAGCTATTGCACCTGTTCCTCCCCGAGCGTAAGGTGAGTGTCTCCCGGCTCCCAGGTGGAGAAAAGGGGACAAGGCGCAGCTGTGGTCAGCAGCAACACCCTCCCCACACCTCCCTGTCACGGGCAGAGTGTAATACTCCTCTCCCTCCCTCCGTCCCCCAACAGATCTATGGGAGAGGAGTTGGCCCGACCTTCTGGGAGAGGACGGGTGGAAGGGGGACACTGGTTGCGGGTTCCTTTGCAGAGGCATCTGATTCCCTTCCAGGGTTGGCACACATATCCTATAACCAGTGAATCCTGGGGACACAAATGGCCCATGCATCTCATAGTAACAGAATGAAGAGCCTTTTAACAAAGCAGTTAATACTTGGTGTTTATTTAGTGCTTACTAGTGCCTGCTGCCATGCCAGAGACATTGCATACGTTCTCATGTAATCTATGTATCAACCCTGTAACACACGACAATTGTACATGAGGATCTGTAGTTCTAGTCCAAATAAATAACTTCCTCTAAGTTACACAATAGAGCACAGATTCAAACTATGTCCCTGCGTCACTGTTTATTGTTTTGTTTTGTTGTTTTCAGCTTCCTATAAGACTGTTTCCTCTGATTGACTTCTGGTGGCTTGGCTTCATTATGATGTGTTTATGTTCACAGCAATTTTTGTAATTTCTCTATGGTAACAACTTTTTATGCCTTAGGAGTGTCTCTGAGGCAGGATTCTAAGAGATTCTCTTTGACTCAATCCCACATAGAGGATAAATCTCCTGACAGAGCCCAGAATGACCACAGCCCTGGAACCTGAGGAACGAAAAGGACTTCCGATAATTAAGGCAGAAGACCATTACTGGGGACAGTATTCCAGCTCACCAAAGTGCAGTCCTCACAGGAGGGAACTCTGTAGACAGCACTTCAGGAAGCTCTGCTATCAGGATGCACCTGGACCCCGTGAAGCTCTTACCCAGCTGTGGGAGCTCTGCCGTCAGTGGTTGAGGCCAGAAAGCCACACCAAGGAGCAGATTTTAGACCTGCTGGTGCTAGAACAGTTCCTGAGCATTCTTCCTAAAGACCTGCAAGCATGGGTGCAGGCACACCATCCAGAGACTGGAGAGGAGGCAGTGACTGTGCTGGAGGATCTGGAGAGAGAGCTTGATGAACCTGGAAAGCAGGTGTGAAGGGGCAGTCATCTGGCTGTGAGTGATAAGGGCATATGGACGGAGCCAAAGCAAAAGGCATATGAAAAAACATCTCAAAATATTTATACTCTAAAGAACAAGGCATAGGAAAGGACCTGACTACCTATATCAAATAATTAAAGTGTGGCTGGGTAAAGAGAAAAGAGTCACTAGACTGATTCTATGCCTGTTTGGAAGGCTAAGATCAGTGGGAAGTTACCAAAAGGCAATCAGGTATCAGAGGAAAAGAAATAATTTTCTGCCATTCATAGATACCCATAAATAAAACAGGCTACCCCATAAGAAACTCCCTTTCCATATAGGTATTCAAGCGGAGATTCAAGTAGATGTCAAGAATATTGCAGAACAGACCTGTCCAACAGAAATGTAATGAAAGCTGTATATGTATTTAAATTTTCTAGTAGCCACATTAAAAAAACAAAAACAAGTGAAATATATTTTTAACCCACAATATTTATCTCATTTGTACTAGCCATATTTTAAGTACTCAGTGACCACATTTTGCTAGTGACTACTGTATCAGACAGCATGGTTATAGAAGAAATGCTCCCATTTGCTGGAAGTTGGGCTAGATGATTTTTAAGCTACCTTCCAAATCCCAGTGCTCTGATCCTGGACTTCTGCAGATCAATGAAAGAAGAGACACTGAATTTTACTCTGTAGTGTCCTGAATTGTAGAGATTAGCCTCTGTTCCTTTTCCTAGCCATTATTGGCATTTACAATGAAATGAGAATTTGTGCCCCCTTCCTATGTCCCTGGCAGATGTTTCATTTGATTATCTGAAGTTACTTAAGTTTCCATAAAGTTCACCTTACACACCTTATTTTCCCTAGGTCCCAGGCAATTCAGAAAGACAGGACATACTCATGGACAAGTTGGCCCCCTTGGGAAGGCCATATGAATCACTGACTGTCCAGCTCCATCCCAAGACGACCCAACTGGAGCAGGAAGCTGGGAAACTACAAAGGAATGGTAAGCAGGAACAGCTCTTAGTATATGAGGGAAGTATATGGGGAAAGAGGTGCTTCCTTAGGTGAGAGGAGAACTTTCTCCTTTTAAAGATTCCCTGCTTGTCCTCCACCTCACTGTGGATAGTTTTCTCCTGTTATTACCCTTGCTCCATGATAGAGTTATATTTTAGTTTCTCACTGGACAAAAAAAGCTGTTATTTGGCCCAAGGGATGAGGATGCAGTTTATTTAATATCTTTATAATTCTGTTGTTATCTAATGATTCTAGTTCCAAATCTCCCTAAATTTCCATTTTGAGACAGGAGAACTTATGGCACCCTATATTGGTCAGCGAGGCCTGCCATACAAAATATCATAGACTTATGGGTGGCTTAACAATAGAAATTTATTTTCTCACAGTTCTGGAGGCTGGAAGTCCAAGAAGAAGATGCTTACAGGGTTAGTTTCTAGTGAGGCTTCTCTCCTGGGCTTGCAGACTTCTTACTGTGTCTTCACATGGCCTTTCTCTGTACACACACACTCCTGGTGGCTCTTCCCCTTGTAAGGACACTAGTACTACTGGATTAGGGTCCTACCCTTATGAATTCATTCAACCTTAATTACTTCATTAAAGGCCCTATCACCATATACAGTAATGTTTGAAAGGGGTTAGGGCTTCAAAGTGTGAATTTGTGGAGGAAGACAAGGCAATCCATAACACATTCCCATGATGAAAGAAGTAGGGAAAAGAGACAATGATCAGTCAGTACAGCAAAGTTTCTTGTTTTTATCTGCATGTCAAATTAACTGGGTTTGGTCCCCCATCCCAGCTCCCTAATTACAAACGAGGGTGTCTAGTGTATCCCCCAGGCTACATTAAAAAGCAGGTGAATTTTAAATTCCAGTTTGTCCAAACCCTACCTTTTTCAGTGCTTACCGCCCTTTCTCTAGAGGCTCTCATGTCTAATAATGCCTCTCCGGGTAGTTCCTTATACTCCAGCCTATTTTGTATTCTTACTACTTAAGTTTTACCAATATAGTTCTCCCATTTTGTAGGATCCCTAGCCGATGATTTGTCTAATCCGAAAGATTATTTTGAGCGAAGATGTTCCTAGCTGCTATCTGGAAAGGATGACATTTAATTATATGTAACATAAAGAAGCCTTTAAGTGCTTTAACTCTAGGAGTGGAGTACTGGTTACTGTTTGACTTTAGAAGTGAGATTGAGAACTTCCTATCTGTTCTTTTTTATTTTTATTTTATTTTTATTTTTTTAGAAGAGAAGGCTCACTATGTTTCCCAGGCTTGTCTCAAACTCCTGGGCTCAAGTGATCCTCCCACCTTAGTTTCCCAAAGTGCTAGGATTATAAGCGTGAGCCACTGTGCCTAGCTCAACCCATCTTTTGATTCATTCATCTTTCATTGAGCATTTACTAAGTAGCAGCTATATGCCAGGCACTATACTAAATGTAAGGAATCCAAAGGTAAGACACTTACATTACTTCTCTTCAAGAAGCAGGAGAGTGAGCACTTACAATAGCATAATAATTACTGTACTAGAGATACACTGTGAACTGCAAAGAGGATAGCTATCCCTAAGGTGCACCTGCAAAAGTATCACAGAGTAGGCTTGCTTGAGCTGAGAAGGTCATGTGGGAACTGAAAGGGGGTGACATTTTAGGCAAAGAAACAGAGAAAAAAAATAGCATCACAGAATAATATTCTAAGAATAGCAACTGCTCTGAGTTTGATTCTGATAAGGAGTCATCTGTGGGAGGGAAAATCAGCAATCTGTGTTTTAATAAACCATCCAGCTGATTCTGATGCACAGTAAGGTTAGAAACCACTAAGCTAGGATTTAGACAGGAGGCGATAACAGCAAGAACATCAGTTTCAGGAAAAAAATATTTTATCCAGCATATACACTGACTATCCATTGTCATTTCCTATTCCTTTTCATTCCTGTTTACCCTGACCTGCATGTTGTCACCCTGCTTCCAGATAATTATTATCCTTCAAACACACGCCTCTACTTGGATGGTTCCTATTCACTATATTCCTCTCAGACCCCAAATCCTATTATCCTCTCCATTCACTTTTACTTGATTTTACTTGCCACCTATGTTTCAGGCCCCTGCATGTTTCTCCCAAACTTTTACCTCCATCCCCATCTTTGTTCTCCAGTCTCTCTAATTATCCTTGGCATATCTATAGTCCTCTCATTTATCCTTCTTCCCTTATACAGTATTGCTAGCTTATCTCTTGAGCTCTATTTTTGCCTTTTCTTCTTAATCTACTCTCAAACAACTTCTTCTGCTGATATCTTCCTTCTTAATTTCTTCCCTCCATTGTGACTCTGTGCTATGATGATACCAAAAATAAGATGGTACCAAATATTTGATATGTGTGTTGTTGACTTCTCATTATTTTATAATACATTTATAACATTTACATGTTCTTTCTTCCATAGGCTGTTTGCTTCTCAAACATACAATAGGACCCATTTGTGTACTGTTTGTTTGTTACAGGTGATAAAACTAGGACTAAGAATGAAGAGTTGTTCCAGAAGGAAGATATGCCCAAAGACAAGGAATTCCTTGGGGAGATAAATGACAGACTGAACAAAGATACTCCTCAGCATCCTAAGTCCAAAGATATTATGGAAAATGAGGGCAGATCAGAATGGCAACAGAGGGAAAGAAGACGATATAAATGTGATGAATGTGGGAAAAGTTTCAGTCATAGCTCAGACCTTAGTAAACACAGGAGAACTCACACTGGAGAGAAGCCCTATAAATGTGACGAGTGTGGAAAAGCCTTCATTCAGCGCTCACATCTCATTGGACATCATAGAGTACACACTGGAGTAAAACCCTATAAATGTAAAGAATGTGGGAAAGATTTCAGTGGGCGCACAGGTCTTATTCAACATCAGAGAATCCACACAGGTGAAAAACCCTATGAATGTGATGAGTGTGGAAGACCTTTCCGAGTAAGTTCAGCTCTTATTAGACATCAAAGAATTCATACAGCAAATAAACTCTACTAATATAGTAGTGATATCAAAAGTTCTTTAGACACTCAGGCCTAACTAGTTATCAGAGAATCTAATTTAGAAACCTTGAGTTTCCTCAATGTGGTCAAAGCTTCAGTCATCATTAAACTTCTCTGGCACCAAAGAATCTACCTGAGTAAAATGTCCTTTTATTTCAAATTAGTTCAGTTTTGAGGGGGAATCAAGAATTCTTTTAGAAAGCTTTGTCTACTGACAACACTGCTCACCTGCAGTCCAAGATCAATGGTTCCTGGATGAAAGACAGTGAATTAATTCTGTCTCTGCTCTAGATCCTTTTAGTTGACCATTCACTGTCTGACTTTAGGCAAGACATACAGTTTTTCTCTGCCTTCATTTCCCCTTCTGTACATGATGATAATGGAAGCTCACCAGGTATGTTTTGACAAGTTAAAACAGATGAAAAATACTTTTGAGATTAAGATATAAAACAATGCTAATAATTTGTTTTCCATCATTACTCATATAATATCCTAAATATCCCTTTTTTATCTTAAAATGGGGATTATGATTCTTTTTTGGAAATTTTTGTTTGCAAGTGATAAAGAATAAGCCATCAGAAGACGAGGCCAGCCTGGTCAACACAGCGAGACCCCACCTCTACAGAAACTTAAGAAAAATTAGCCAGGCATGGTGGCACACACCTGTAGTCCCGCACAACTATTTAGGAGGCTGAGGTGGGAAGATCACTTGAACCCAGGAGTTCAAGGCTGTAGTGAGACGTGATTGCACCATTGCACTCCAGCCTAGGCAACAGCAAGACCTTATCTCAAAAAGAAGAGAAAAAGGAGGCTGAGGAAAACAAAATGGAGGAGAAGGCAGTCTGTGATCATTAGGAGTTGCTGGGGGGAGGAAAGGATCTATAACTAGATAGATAACTTCTTTTCTGGATTTCAGGTTATTTTAAACTGAGGGAGACAGGAAGGGGTTGATCTAACTTGGTCCAGTTTGTCCAGATTGGGGGCCAGTACTCACATTAACTCAAATAAAATGGAAAATTCAGTTCCTCACATTTCAAGTGCTCATAGCTACATGTTAGTGGCCACTATATTGGATAGCACAGATATACACTTTTTTTGTCTTTTTTTCACCCAGGCTGGAGTGATCCTCTGTTCACTGCAAGCTCCACCTCCAAGGTTCAAGCGATTCTCCTGCCTCAGCCTCCTAAGTCGCTGAGATTACAGGCATGCACCACCATGCCTGGCTAATTTTTGTATTTTTAGCAGGATTTTGCCAGGCTGGCCAGGCTGGTCTCAAACTCAAGTGATCTGCCCACCTCAGCCTCCCAAAGTGCTGGGATTAAAGGTGTGAGCCACCACACCTGGCCACATCTCTAATTTGAGAATCTTATACCATGACAGGAATTGTGGCCGAAGGCCTTGCACATTCAAATTCACACCACCAATCAAACTGCCAAGAGCAGAACTCTGGTTCTTTGCTTAGTTCTAGGAATAATGATCACCAAAACAATCAGGAAAGAAGTGATCTAATCTCTTCAAATCTCTTGTTTAAAATTAAGAGATTTCAATTGAAGATATCTATTAAGAACACCTGCTTTATCGTTGTGTTTAAGATCAGGAAAACTATAAGAATCATTTTTATGTCTACAACTATAGGAACATGAATCTTTAAAAAATAATAATAATAAAGAGTTTAGCTTCATTGTCCAGGCTGGAGTACAGTGGCACAATCATACCTCACTGCAGCCTGGAACTCCTGGGCTCCGGCGATCCTCCCACCTCAGCCTTCCGAGTAGCTGGGACTACAAGCACACACCACTGTGTCTGGGTATTTTGTTTGTTTGTTTGTTTTAGAGATAGGGTCTGACTATGTTACTCAGGCTAGTATCGAATTCATGGCCTCAAACAATCCTCCCATCATCCTCACAAAGTGCTGGATATTACAGGCATGAACCACCATGCCCCACCAAGAAAATGAATCTTGAGGTATTTCTCATAATGCCCTAAACATAAACTGAGCTTTTATGTCCCTTTAACATAATGGTCCTTTTAAAAAAATGTATATTTACTTTGAATATCTTACATCAACACATTTTTTAATGTCAGGTTTCACACGAATACTTGTTTTGTGACTTACTATAATTACCTGAGCAATATTTCAAAGTATTTGAAACAGTCAAAGAAAGGATTTTCTTTAATGGTCCTGAAAAGTAAAGTATGAAATATTTAATATTAGTATTAGAAACATCCTTATTTTAAAAATAAAGTTAGGTGCTTTCTGAATAATGGCTTTTCCCCCTTTACCTTTAATCTTTCTGAGAAACACTACAATGCTTAGAAAGTGTTCAGATCTTTAAAGGGGAAACTCACGTTTCTGATCTTATCCTTCCTTGAATTTAGGGAGGCTTCTGCAATGGTAAGAAAGATGATTTTGGCTACCCCAAGAGTAGATTTCCTAAAATTGGTAAACACATGACAGACTGATTTTCCTTTATCCTCTGTATCAGCAGTCCCCAACCTTTCTGCAACCAGGGGCTGGTCTCGTGAAAGAGAATTTTTCCAGGGACAGGGAAGTGGGTGTGGTTTCATTTATCATTAGATTCTCATAAGGAAAGTGCAACCTAGATCCCTCGCATGTGCAGTTCACGATAGGGTTTGCGACCCTGTGAGAATCTAATCCCACTGCTCATCTGACAGGAGGTAGAGCTCAACTTTGCTTGCTCACTGGCCCCTCACCTCCTGATTTCCTGGCCATGGCGGGGACGTGGGGACTTCTGCTATATATGACAGAACATTCCATTCAGCTAGTAGTTTTGAATACGTATTATGTACAAAGAGCTGTTCTAGTCTTAAGAGTTCTGCACCCTTAAAGGCTGAGTGAAGAGTAGTCTGGAGCACTACAACCATTCTACCCTTTTTAGATTTTATGTTGATTCCAAATTGCCACCACAGTGCCCACCACAGGTTTGGTCTAATGTTAATCAGAAGGGTAACGGTAAGAGTCAGGGAGGGACAGAAAGACATGGGGCCAGAGACAGCCTAGCATGATGTAGGTAAGAGAAGAACAGTCAGTGGGATCTAGGATAATTGCAGGCAAAAGGCAAAAGAGGCATGAGGTCAAAGGAAATTGAAGTAGTTGCTGGTACTATGGAGACGCAGGCAGTGTCTTAGTAAGTATGTAGAAACCCACAGAAGAAACGGGTGGGAGTGCAACCAGTTGGAAATAACACAGCTCAATCAAGCCACATTTCTTGGAAGAGGAGGTGTAATATTTTGGACACTGTATCAGTTCTAGAAGAGAGCCATCCCGAATGGACAGCACCTGGTCTGAAAAAAAAAAACAAAAAAAACCCCTGAACATCAAAAGCAGTTCCTCAGAGAGTTGTGTCGAAAGCAAATGTGTTGTTGTTCTTCATATCTTTCTGGAGGGGTTTTTTTTTTCTGGGGGAGGAGTCAAGAATTTATATTTTGTAGTTTCATGGACTAACAAGACAGTAATTACAACAGACAGCTATAGGGAATATGGGGGACAGCTCTCTCAGACACAGATGGGATGGTAGTGAACTGGCAGTTCTAAGTGAGGGTGTCAACAGGTATGAATGGAACAAATAGATGAGTGTTGAGGGAGGGTCTATAGGAGGTGTCGGTGGGTATTGATTTAGAGGGGGAAAATGAGGAGAAAGGGATGAAAAGAGAATAATTTTAAAAGGAGGGCAAGGGCATAGGGAGAGGAACAACTATAAAACAAGGGATGGAGATAGGAAAGATAGACAAGTGATTCTAATATATTGGCATCAATCATTGTTGGAGACAGTGGATCATCTGATACAAGCCATATAAAGGTAAAAAGACTAGCTCCTGATCCCAAGGTACTTTGAGTCTTATGTGTACAGCACACACTGTATTAGCTTTATTAAATTGTCTACATTCTTATCCTGAGGATGAAATTATTTTATTATAGTCTCATCACAAAATCCATCAACAGTGGAAACAAATGGAAACAGAAATGCTTCAAAACAACCTGTTTTTCCCATCATAATATTACAAGGGAGTTAGGCTGAGGTTTTAAAAGAGTAGGTATCTCAGTCAGTCTTACTCAGATCCTCTAGAGCAAGGTTTCTCAACCTTGAGAAACTATTTCTATTGACATTCTGGGCCAGACAATTGTTTGATGTCAGGGGCTGTCCTCTGCACTGTAGGATGTTTAGCAGTATCCCTGGCCTCTACCCACTAGATGTTAGTAGTACTTCCACTTGTGATATCCAAAAATGTCTCCAGGCAATTTGGTGGGCAGGCTGAGTGAGGCAAATGTCCCCTGAGAGGCAAAATCACCCCCAGTTGAGAACCCCTAAACTATAGGAAAATAATCAGATTTCTATGACTGTTCCACATCATATACAATAAAATTCTACTTAGAAATGCTACATGTGGCCGGGCGCGGTGGCTCACACCTGTAATCCCAACACTTTGGGAGGCCAAGGTGGGTGGATCATCTGAGGTTGGGAGTTCCAGACCACCCTGACCATCATGGAGAAACCTCGTCTCTACTAAAAATACAAAATTAGCTGGGCGTGGTGGCGCATGCCTGTAATCCCAGCTACTCAGGAGGCTGAGGCAGGAGAATGGCTTGAACCCGGGAGGCAGAGGTTGCAGTGAGCCGAGATCATCGTGCCATTGCACCCCAGCCTGGGCAACAACAGCAGAAACAAAAGGAAGGGAAAGGGGAAGGGAAAGGGAAAGGAGGGAAAGAAGGAAATGAAAGAGAGGAGGGAAAGAAAGGAGGGAAAGGAAGGAAAGAGAAGAAAGAAATGCTACATGTGACCAGGACTACTGGACCCTTTTCCTACCCCAGAAAATTATTGCCAACATACCTAAAATCAGTGCAGCAATGATGCTAAAAAGTAGTCTACTTTAGAAAGCCTTACCTTATTTACTAGTGAGGACTAGTAATGTGACTTCAGTGCGACTTGCATAAAGAGCTTACACTGCATTTTTGCAGACCTTCCCCTTCCCTCCTTGCCACACTTCTGGTGCAATTTTCTTCTTTGCCCCTTGACCCAAACATGAACATAGACATTTTATCCTTGATCTAAATCTGTACTGTCCAGTGCAGTAGCCACGAAGTACATTTGGCTCTGCAACTGAGGAACTAAATTTATAATTTTAATTAAACTTTAAAACTCATAATTCACTAGATAACTTTTAAGTATGTTTGAAATAATTTGGATATGTGAATCTATTTTTTCCATTTTAAATTTTATGTATTCTCAGTATAAATTATTTATGAAAATGTAATATGTGAATTGAGATGTCCAATAAGTATAAACACACTGGCTTTCAAAAAATGGAATACAGGATATTAATAATTTTTATAATGATTAGATGTTGATATAGTAATATTTTGTATATGATGGTTTAAACTAAAGATAATTTCACCTGTCTTTTTGCATTTTAATATGGCTATTAATAAGAAAGTTTTAAATTACATAGGTGAATCCTATTATCTTCCTATTATTAGACAGAACTGACCTTCAGTTCTGCAGAAGACCATTCCACACAAAGGAGAGAGGTAATGCAAAGTCTCTGATTAGGAATGAATTTGGTGTGTTACAGGAACTGAAAAAGGTCACGTGTTGAAAGCACTGGATTAAGGGGAAGGTCACACAAGATTAGGTTAGAGAGGTGAGCAGGGGCCGGGATGTGTATTCTAAACGTGATGGGGAACTACTAAAAGGGAGGAACATAATCCAATGTTTGTTTTTAAAAGATCATTCTGGCTCCTTAAAGAGGCAAGAATGAGAAAATAGCAGAAGTAAGGAAATCAGTCCAGAGGCTACTGTAGTAACCCAAGTGAGAGAAGGTGGTGGCATGGACCATGGGTTCCCAGTGGGTATAAAGAGAAACAAACAGATTTAAGGTACATTTTGGAGATGAAAATATAATCTTGCTCATTGTTGTAGATTCCTAAATTCTGCTTGAAAACATGTCTCTGTATTAGGTTAAACAAATGAAATCCCTTGTTTTTGTGGGTCAAAATGGTTAAATACCAGAAAGGGGGGCCGGGCGCGGTGGCTCAACCCTGTAATCCCAGCACTTTGGGAGGCCGAGACGGGCGGATCACGAGGTCAGGAGATCGAGACCATCCTGGCTAACACAGTGAAACCTCGTCTCTACTAAAAAATACAAAAAAAAAACTAGCCGGGCGAGGTGGCGGGCGCCTGTAGTCCCAGCTACTCGGGAGGCTGAGGCAGGAGAATGGCGTGAATCCAGGAGGCGGAGCTTGCAGTGAGCTGAGATCCGGCCACTGCACTCCAGCCTGGGCAAGAGAGCCAGACTCCGCCTCAAAAAAAAAAAAAAAAAATACCAGAAAGGTAAAATGATTTAACCTAATAGAAACAAATAATGACAGAGAAGAATCAGAGGCATGAAACTGGAGAGGGGACATTGAAATGGGGCTTATTTATTAAAATGAAAATTTTTATTGTTCTCTTCTCCTTAAATCTCTCTGTGGAAGGCACCCTTGTCAAAAAAAAAAAAGAAAAAGAAAAAGAAAAAACAAAAACAAACAAACAAAAAACCCTTTGTTTAAAGACAAATTGCCAACAAACCCGATGAGATTCAGAACACTGCTGCAATAACGTATCTCTGTAGAAACTTATACTTTCATCTGGACAGCAAATTTCCTAAGCTCATAAAATCAGGTTATCAACGAAAGGCAAGAGTGCAGAATTTAAAGGAAGAATGCCTGAATGTGAATCTTTGTTCTGCCAGTTACTACAGTTACTAGTTATATGACCTTGGCTATTCTCTCTGAAACTCAGGTTCCCCATCTGTAAAACAGTATTATAATGATATCTACCTCATAAAGTAGGAATTAAATGAGTGACCAAATGTAAAAGGTTTAGAAGAGTGTCTGGCCCATAATGTTATAAAAGTCTTAGTCCCTAACATTAGCGCACTTAGCTCTTTTTGTTAGCCTTAAATTCAGCATTTTCTTCCTATCAAAGCTGCTTAAATCAGTTAACTGACATTTGATCTTCATGGACTCATTGTATTGTTGCTGTTGTGTGTATTTTAAAATAATACTTGTAATCTTAAAAATTAGCATAATTTTGAACCGCTCCCTAATACTTAACCCCAATCCCAAACCGGACGGTCGAGCCTATCCACCGGCAGAGAACACCACCCAACCTCGCTCTCACTCTGACACTCACCGGCCAGACCTTTTCTTCCGTCCGTTTTCTGCTTCTGGCCCAGGGCCCAGCTCACGTAGAGTTTTCGTGGGCTGCTTGCGAACCGTTAGCAACCGGAAGTGGCTAGAGGTCGCGAGAGAACCGAGAAAGGGGGCCGGTCTTTCCCAGCTGCCTAAACACTTGGGTTCCGGCCTGGAAGGAGGCCCAGGGCTCCCACAAGGAGAAATTAGGGACTTATTTGGATGGATCCCAAGAAACACTGTCTGGCATCTGATTTGAACGAGGCTCGCCGCAGCTGGGCCCTTTTCGCAAAGTAGGCCCACTGCAGACCTGTGGGAACCTCCGGGATGCCTGGGGACCCGCATCTGCCGCTACCCGCAATTTTCTATCCCGACCCTCTCTGCAGTTGTCGACCCCAGCCTGAGGCTTTGAGCGTGGGGTCCCGCAAACCCTGGCACCGAGGGGGCCGAAGCCGAGGGATCCTGGGGTAGAAGAGTGGTCCTATAGAGCTGCCGTTTCGGGAGAGCCCCCAGTTGACCGCTGATGGGGAATGGGGGATTTTACTGTCTTAGTGCAGCCCGCCCCCGGAGAAAGGCGGGCTCGGACGTTCTTGACTTTAGGATGGACTGGGGAGGGGCGCCGAGGAGCATTCCTCCCTTTACGTCTCGCGGTCGCAGACTGTATTTGCCGGTGCCCTGCTCACTGTGAACTGGCAGGACCTTACGGACTTACGGAGACGACAAGGGGCCTATTTTGAGTTTCTCTGATCCTTAGGGGAAATGAGTGTCTAGCGCGAAATAGGTGCAGAGTGCCGGCACTGGAATTCTTTAAACCTGGATTCAAATTCTGACTCCACCACTCTCCAGTGAGGACTTAGGGCAATTTATTTTTTAACTTCTTCAAGCCTCTGTTTACTCGTTTATGTAAGTCAGGCTAATAACGTAGTGCCTATTTCATAGGGTGGCTTTCACTATTAAGCGTGAGAGTGCATGTAAGAACAGTCTAAGGGCATTTCCCTGCCTTTCCCCTTGTCTGCTGTCAACTCTCATCCAAGTCAGACAAATGGAATCAATTAACCAACTTCCGCTTTTCTGAAGCACGGGTGAAGAAGAGTGAAGTACAGGACTTGGGTAAAGGAAAAACCAAGAAGGATGCAAAAGGTGGATGGATGATCCACAGAGGTGCTCATCCCAGCACTTTCTCCTCACTTGTCGTCTATCACATGGTGGGTGCTTGATAAGTACTTGGGTGAATGAGGACCTACCTAAGGAGAAGGAATTATTGAATAAGACTAGAATTGAAGGAAGAGGATGAATCAGATTGATTAGCTACTTGACAAAAAAAGGCAAACCACTTTTCCTGTCAGAAATGTATGGCACATCTACATATTTCAAGGGCTGCCACTTACTAGAACTGGGAGGGAGTCTCAGAACCGACACCTCAACTATGGAAGCTTTAATCTATTGACAGCAAATGTAACAATAGCAAGTAATATAAGACAGAATGTGATCAGTGCAAAATCGAATAATAAAGTCTTGAGAGGGGGTTATTAGAATAATAGACGAGTGTTTAGATTGAGTAGTGAGCAATGAGATAAGTCCTTTGACTTGGGGGTACAGGGGAATTGTGACCAGGGGTATGGGATAGGGAGAAGGTCATTCTGGAAGGCAATAAAAGGCAGACTGGATGCTAGTGGTATAAAAAAAGGAAAACACTTGTTTATCAATGTCTATCAATGGGGAAGAATTACATATGACATATGCTATTGAGGAATACCTTTCAACCGTTAAAATGATAAATGATCAGTGACAAAAGAAGTGTCAGAACAATATATATTCCATTTTTGTTGAAAAATTTTGTGTATATAGATATAATTTGTGGGGTATTTGTAAAGGAAAAGGATGCACTCCAAACTTAACAGTGATTACCCCATGTCGAAAATTGTGAAACTTTTACCCTACTTTGCAAGCTAACAATTTAACTTGCCACAGTTTTATGGATACTAACAGAAGACACTGGACTCCTGCGTCAGAGACATAAGACTTTATTACTTAATAACACAGGCAACATAAGCTTTATATTCCCTTGTTCCCAAAGCTTATGTTCCCAAAGCCCACAGAGTGGCCTAAGTTTGGCATTCCTCTGCTAGGATGGAACAGTGGGTTTGCAACCTAACAGAGGAGTGCCAAGCGTAGGAAGCCCATCCTTTGCTTAGCCTTGCCCCAGAATGAGCCATTATCTTTATCCTGGTCAGGAAACAACTGTGCTCTAAAAGGAGATATAAATATCCTTGAAAAGCTAACCTGAAAGAAAAATCTACCATAAGACTAGGAGTAATTTGAGAGACCATTAAAGAATTATCTCCCAACATTCTAGGTAAATACCATTTGAGGGTAGAGATACCAGCTTTTAATAATTTTATATAATATTAATTTTTATCATGTTTCATTTATTTTTAAAAATACAAAAAATAAAAGGCAAACAGAGAAGTTTAAATTTTACTTAGAGATAAGGAACCACTCAGGGTTAGTGACTGGAAGAATGATAATGATATTTAAGGACCACGTCTTGGATAGTTAGGAAGACTATCTCAAGGCTGTTGCAGTCACATAGGTATGAATTAATTAGAACTGAGGATGGTGGTTACATTAATGGAGAAAAGTAACACTTCAAAGGAGAAATCTGCTGATGATAATTTCTCCTTTATCTCCATATTTCATTGAGTAAGCTAAGGAAGCCTCTCAAACCTGGATAACTTAGAAATTGGTGATATTATCAACCATTCTAATGGATATGTGGTGGTAACTCATTGTGGTTTTAACTTTGCATTTCCCTGATGAATAATTATTACTTTTTAGTGTGCATACTGGCCATTCTTTTATCTTTTGTAAACAAAGTGTTCAAATATTTTGCCTATTTGTGTTGAATTATCTCATTCATTTAATTGTGAGAGTTCTTTATATATTCTGGATAGTTCTTTGTCAGATAGATGTATTACAAATATTTTCCAGTGTATAGCTTTTTCTTCACTTTCTTAATGGTGCTTTTTTTGAGAAGATTTAAATTCTGATGAGAATTTAAATTTAAAATTTTGAAGTCAAATTTATCAATTTTATCTGTTATAATCGGTGTCTGTGTGTCTAGTTTGAGAAAACTGCCTATAGCATGATGCTATTTTACTTCCTATGTGTACACAATTTTATACATAGTATGTGCAGTCATAGTTGTGTGCACATTGAATTTGTACAACTACGTATGTGCACAACTTCAGACTTAAAAATTATTTGTTTGTTTATTTAAGATGACACAGGGTCTTGCTCCACTGACCAGGCTGGATCTCAGCTCACTGCAATGGCAGGATCTCAGCTTACTGCAGCCTCTGCCTCCCAGGCTCATGTGATTCTCCTGCCCCAGCCTCTGGAGTAGCTGTGACTACAGGAGCCCACCACCATGCCCGGCTAATTTTTGTATTTTTTGCCAAGATGGGGTTTTGCCATGTTGGCCAGGCTGGTCTCAAACTCCTGAGCTCAGGTGATCCTCCCGCAGCTTCCCAAAGTGCTGGGATTACAGTCATGAGCCACCTTGCTCAGCCAAAAAAGTTATTTTTTAAATGTAAAAAAAGAAACTGAAAGTAGAGTTCTAATCTGTCACCAATTACTTCCAGTTACCATCCCAGGTGGAAAGCAACAACTGTGAAATAAAAAGCAAAAATAAGTACTTTGAAGGAGTCCAGAAGCACTGTAGCTTCCTAGTGTTTACTATTATTTACTTGTTTTCATGTGATAATTAGATGACAAAACCCTTAAATCAAAACAACTTTGTCAGTACACAAAATATTGGGGAGTTAGTAATTGGGAAGGGATAGAAACGGTGGTGGTAGCTACCAGCAGGAGCAGATAAAGAGGGAAATTAAGGTGAAAATTGGAGGAGCCCTGAGAACTCAATAAATAGGTGGTTGGGAAAGGCGCTGAAGGAAATAAATACATGAGACCTAAACAACAAAAATTAACGCTTGCCACAACCTCCACCCCTGAAATCCTATTAGTCTCAAAAGTTAAAAAGCTGTAATGCAACAGGTCTGTTCATTACATAGGGCCAGGGCGGTGGCTCATGCCTGTAATCCCAGGACTTTGGGAGACTGAGGCAGGAGGATCACTTGAGCCCAGGAGTTCGAAACCAGCCTGGGCAACATAGTGAGACCCCCCCCCCCTCCAACCCCGTTTCTACAAACAAAATTTTTTAAAGCTGAGGTTGGTGCACACCTGTAGTCCCAGCTACTTGGGGGACTTAGGTGGGAAGATTGCTTGAGCCCAGAAGGTTGAGGCTGCCGTGAGCTATGATCACACCACCACACTCTGCAATAGCGCCCCTGTCCCCCCCCCCAAAAAAAAGACTAGCAAAAAAAGAATGAACATAGATTTGTTCCCCAAATTTTGTGGTATTAAAACTAGGGTTTACTCCCCAAGCTTACGTCATAGGTTTAGCATTAAAACAGCTAAGCAGCAAAGCAGATGTTGTAAGCAATTGAAATTCATTAACATAGGAAAGAGTGGGAAATATGTAAAGATCCAAAAAGAATATATATTTAATTACGATTTTTTGAATACTTAATAAAGTATGCGATTCCTAAGTGCCATGCCATAGGGATTTCACAAAACTATGAACTGTGATTAGCAGGAATTTCTCATGAAGTTTGTACTCTATGTGGGAGGACTGGATATATTTATGAATCGAGAACAGTAAAGTACAGGGTATGTAACGGGGCCAAACGCGAGTCCAGTTGGAATCCTAAGGAACCATGAAGTGCTCCCTCCTCCAACACTTTCCTCGCATCCTGTACACAGCTCCAGCCTCCCCACGTCGGATATCTACCCCCAGGGTGCCGTTACTATTGTCAGCGAACGCGCGGAGCTGCACGAGCACACAAGGCAGAGGGGACACCAAGGTCCGTTATTCCCCAGCACGTTCACTGCCCCAGCGTCGGGGAAGCCTGAGGCACGCAGACGAACCCGAGGCACAGCACACAGCAGGTGAGGGGCGTGGTACTCCTGTACCCTCAGTCGGCAGACCATAGAGCTTTTAGACCTCCAGGACTCCTAGAGAGCTTCCGGAAGTGCCTTTGGGGCAAGATGCGTGCTGGCCGGTGTTGTGCCTCCGCAGATTTGGAAGTTAGTGGCCGGAGGGGCCTGGTCGGAGTACAGTTCTCATCCCCTTTACTTTCCGACCTTTCTCCGGGTGTGTTTATCCGTTGCAGCGTACCTTCCCCCCGCCGGGGCGCCTCTGCAACTCACAGTGAGTACGGTCGGGCTCTGGGTCGGAGAAAAGTGGGTGCTTTGTGGCTGGTCCAGGCCGCAGCTGAGGACTGGCGTGAGGGGTCCGCAGAGGGGCCTGTGCGGTGGTCGTCGTCGCGGACCGATTCCGACGCCTTAGTTGCTGGTGCAGGCAGAGTACGTCCCCACGCATTGCCCTCGAACTTTTTGCGAGGGAACCTTTTATGAAGCTTTCTTCATAGATAATCGTTTTGTGGTATGATTTTGTAGTCGATCGTGTTTATCTTAAAATGG